TTCAGTCTGGGTCTCCCCACAGCCTCTTCGTGGGTACTCAGGTCTCAGTGTTACCCTCTTCCGCCTTCATTATCGCTATTAATGACTCGTCTTCTGCGTCTTCCTCTACATTCTGCCGCATAGCATCTGAATGTTCTGCAGAGCATCTGTCTGACGGTTTATTGTCGCATCTTGCTCATTCCATCATGTATGAATCTGCAGTTGGCAACGTGATTGTCTCTCAAATTTGGGTTGTGACTTGCGCTGCTATATACATCTTGAGTGCATGGGTGCTTTTTTCATAAAGTTGCTCACTTCTATGATTTTTCTGGAGGTAGGCATGTTCAGTAGTGATATTGACGGGATCAAATGGTAGAATCTACTTGTAATCGCTTTAAAGGATCTCCACATTGCTTTCCACAGAGCTAGAACATTGCAGTCCCACAGCAGTTAGGAGTGTTCCTATCTCTCTGCATTATGCAACATTATTGTTTGGACTTTTGTCAACGGCCATTGCTAGTGGAGATAAGTGATATACTCGCAGTATTTGATGATTTCCCTGATGATTAGAGATGTTGAGCACTTTTTCATATTTTTATTGGCCTTTATTCTGTCTTCTTTTGAAAAATTTCTGTTCATGTCCTTTGCCAACTTTTTGATAGGGTTTTTTGATTTTTTCTTGCTGATTTTCCTGAGTTCTAAATAGATTCTAGTTATCAGCTGTTTGTCGGATGTGTAGCTTGTGAAAATTTTCTCCCATTCTGTGGGTTGTCTGTTTGCTCTCTTGACAGTTTCTTTGGCTGTGCGGAAGCTTTTAAAATTGATCAGGTCCCATTTGTTTATTTTTGTTGCTGCTGTGATTGCCTCTGGGGTCTTCCTCGTAAATTCTTTACCTAGGCCGATGTCTAGGAGAGTATTTCCAATGTTTTCCTCTAGAATTCTAATAATTTCACACATAATGTAAAAGTCTGTTACCCAGCGTGACTTGATTTTTGTGAGAGGTGAAAGGTGTGGGTCTTGTTTCAGTCTTCTACAGGTGGCTATCCAGTTTTCCCTGCACCATTTATTGAATAAAGATTCTTTTCCCCAGTGTATGTATTTCTCTGCTTTGTCAAAGATCAGTTGGCTATATGAGGATGGTTTTATATCTGGGTTCTCTGTTCTGTTCCACTGGTCAATGTCCCTCTTCTTGTGCCAGTAAAAAGCTTTTTTAATGACTATAGCCTGGTAGTATAGTTTGAAGTCAGATTGTAAGTAAGTAAATTGATACCTCCTATTTTGTTTTTATTGCCTAGGATTGATTTTGCTATATGGGGTCTTCTCTGGCTCCATATGAAGCCTAAAATTATTTTTTCTATATCTGTGAAAAATGGTGATGGTATTTTGATAGGGGTTGCATTGACTATGTAGGTCACTTTGGGTAGTATAGACATTTTAACAATGTTGATTCTGCCGACCCATGAGCATGGTATATTCTTCCATCTGTTTACGTCCTCTGCTATTTCTTTCTTCAGTGTTTCATAGTTCTCCCTGTAGAGGTCTTTTACCTCCTTAGTTAAATATATTCCAAGGTACTTTATTTTCTGTGTTGCTATTTTGAAGGGAATTGTGTCTTTAATTTGGTTCTCAGTTTGACTGTTGTTGGCATATATGAATGCCTCTGATTTCTGTGTATTGATTTTGTATCCTGAAACTTTAGCAAATTCATTTATCAATTCAAGGAGTCTCTTGGTTGAATTCTTGTGGTTTTCTAGGTATAATATCATGTCTTCAGCGAAGAGTGAGAGTTTGATCTCTTCTGCTCCCATTTGGACGCCCTTAATTCCGCTCTCTTGTCTGACTGCTGTAGCAAGGATGTCCAGCACTATGTTGAGTAGAAGTGGAGATAGTAGGCAACCATGTCTTGTTCCAGTTCTAACTGGGAATGCTTTCAATTTTCCCCATTCAGTATGGTATTGGCTGTGGGTTTGTTATTTATGGCTTGTATCATTTTTAGGTAAGCCCCATCTATGCCTATTTTGTTGAGCATTCTTATTATAAAAGGGTGTTGAATTTTGTCAAATGCTTTCTCTGCATCTATTGAGAGGATCTTATGGTCTTTATTTTTGCTTCTGTTTATATGGTGAATTACATTTATAGATTTGAGTATGTTGAACCATCCCTGCATCCCTGGGATAAAGCCCACTTGGTTGTGATAGATTATTTTCTTGACAAGCATCTGGATTCAATTGACTAGGATTTTGTTGAGAAATTTTGCATCTATATTCATAAGGGATATTTGTCTGTAGTTTTCTTTTTTTGGTGCATCCTTTCCTGGTTTTGGTATCAGGCTTATGTTCGCTTCATAAAATGTATTGGGGATGATTCCAACTTTCTCAATGTTGTGGAATAATTTCTACAAGATAGGCACCAGTTCTTCTTTGTAGGTGTGGTAAAATTTTGATGTGAAACCATCTGGTCCAGGACTTTTCTTTTTAGGAAGGTTTTTTTTATTGCTGTTTCAATTTCAGTACTTGCTATTGGTCTGTTCAGGAATTCTGTTTCTTCCTGGTGGAGCCTAGGGAGGCTGTGTGTTTCTAAGAAATTGTCTATTTCCTCCACATTTTCCAGTTTGTGCGCATAGAGGTTTCTGTAGAATTCATAAATTATATCTTGTAACTCCGTGGCATCCGTTGTAATTTCTCCTTTATTGTTCCTGACGGAGCTTATTAGAGACTTTTCTTGTCTGCTTTTCGTTAGTCTAGCCAAAAGTGTGTCAATTTTGTTTATTTTTTTCAAAGAACCAACTTTTTGTTTTATTAATCATCCGTGTGGTTTCCCTGTTGTCAATATCATTTAGTTCTGATTTGATCTTAATAATTTCACTTCTGCTGCATTTGGGGTCGGTCTGTTCTTCTTTTTCCAGCTCTTTGAGACGATTCATGAGGTTGTCTATTTGTGATCTTTTCGACTTTTGGATATAGGCATTTATGGAAATAAAGTTTCCTCTCAGGACTGCTTTAGCTATGTCCCACAGGTTTTGGTAACTTGTGTCACCTTTGTCATGTAGTTAAAAGAACCTTTTGATTTCTACTTGATTTCCTCATTTATGAAGTGATCATTGAGCAGAAGGTTGTTTAGTTTCCATGACTTTGTGTAGAAATGAGAACTCCTGTTAGGATTGATTTCTACTTTTATTCCATTGTGGTCTGAAAAGGTACATGGTATAATTTCTATTTTTTTTAATTGTTTGAGATGTGTTTTGTTTCCTAGGATATGGTCAATCTTAGAGAATGACCCATGAGCTGATGAGAAGAACGTATATTTAGTGGTTTTGGGGTAGAATGTCCTGTAAATGTCAGTCAGGCCCATTAGTTCTGGAGTTCTGTTTAAACCCATTATTTCTTTGTTGATTTTCTGTTTGCAGGATCTCTTCTGTGCCGTCAGTGGGGTGTTAAAGTCTCTGACTATTATACACATGAAAGTTTCTGATTCAGTAGCTGATCCATTAATAAATGGCTAATTGGGAGTATCTGACTGTAGATGGGAATGAGCATTAATTCCCAGGTTGCTGCTGTGCAAAAATAAAAATCTTCTGTGATATTCCTGGTATCCCTAAGGAGGGAAGTATAATTTTAGGCACATACTGACAAAATATGAATACAATATACTTAAGTGAAAGTTACAGTTTGTCTTAGAGATGAAATTGAAGGATGCAGTAGATATTGCTTTGACAGGGCTTTTTGGCTAATGCAGTGTACGGGTATTGATTTTATGATTTATCTTATCATCTGGCATCTAACATATCAGTTGACTTGTGAAAACAGGGTTTTGGTTTGATTTATGTTAGAAATTCATATATTTAGGCTGATGCAAAAGTAATAGTTTTGGACAGTAAATTTTAAATCATTATAACTAGGCTCAAACACATCTTTATTAATCAAAATAAGAACCATTACAGTCAACACATTTTTTGCCAATGAGAAATAAGTTAGTTTATTCCTGTAGTGTAAAAATATGTGCTTCAGGATATGACAAACTCTTGGAAAGCATTTTCTGCATCTTGCTGGTTGTGGAAGCGTTTTCCTGCAAAATGTTGTTGAGATGCTTGAAGAAGTGGTAGTCAGTTGGTTGGCGAGAGGTCAGGTGAATGTGGCAGATGAAGCAAAACTTTGTAGCCCAATTCATTCAACTTTTGAAGCATTGGTTGTGCAACATGAGGTTCGGCGTTGTTATGGAGAAGAACTGGGCCCTTTCTGTTGACCAATGCCGGCTGTAGGCATTGCAGTTTTCAGTGCATCTAATCCATTTGTTGAGCATATTTCTCAGATGGAATGGTTTCACCAGGATTCAGAAAGCTGCAGTGGATCAGACTGGCATCAGACCACCAAACAGTGACCATGACCTTTTTGTGATGCAAGTTTGGCTTTGGGAAGTGCTTTGGAGCTTCTTCTCGGTCCAGCCACTGAGCTGGTCGTCACCAGTTGTTGGTTGTCATAAAAAAATCCACTTTTCTTAGCACATCATAATCCGATTGAGAAATGGTTCATTGTTGCATACAATAAGAGAAGATGACATTTCATAAACAATTTTTTTTGATTTTCGGTCGGCTCATGAGGCACCCACGTATCGAGCTTTTTCACCTTTCCATTTTGCTTCGAATGCCAAACAACCATAGAATGGCTGATGTTGAGTTATTTGCATAGTTGTAAGAGGATCAGGTTTGATGATTTCTCTCTATTGGTCATTGTCAACTTCCTATGACTGGCCACTGCACTCCTCATTTTCAAGGCTCTGGCTCTTTTGCAAAACTTCTTGAACCACCACTGCACTATACATCGATTAGCAGTTCCTGGGCCAAATGCGTTGTTGATGTTGCAAGATGTCTCTGATGGACTCATTTTGAACTCAAATAAGAAAATCTCTCGAATTTGCTTAACAGTAGAGGAGAGTGGGATGAAAGCATTACTTACAGCTGCTTTATGAAGTGGGTTCAAAGAAGAGTCCACAAAAATGAATTATTTTTTCCTTTCTTCACACAGATCTCCTACAGTACCAAGATATTTTCCATTCAACACCTCAATCACGTACAAAAAGACTGTGTTTGTAGAGTTCATGGATCACCTTTTCAACATTGCCAAACCCAAGCCACCCTGGATGGGTAATGAAAACAATGTTAAATGCTAATTATCAAACTGAGTATCTTATTTCGTAGCAAGGATTCTCCAGTCTTGAGGCTGAAATTAAAGAGGGCAGCTGCCAAAGGGAAATATGCTGGATTTTGTCAGTCTTTCTGCTGAGCCCTCCTCCTCTGCTTGGCCTCTAGGTGTTAGAGAACCCCAGGGCTTGGTCCTGGGTTCATTTTCTTTTCTCTCTCTTTAATCCCTAGGTTATCTTATCTAGTCTCATAGCTTTAAAATACCATCTATATGCCATTAACTCTCAAATTTATATCTTCAGTTCAGCCCTATCCCTTAATGCTGTTTACTTCCACTTAGATGTGAAGTATGTAACAAAATGTTAACATGGTATATTTCCTGTCTTAGGATGGTTGCTGAGAATTATAGGCGACAAGGATCCCCCCATTCTAAAGAGACATATCAGCCCATCTATTCAGGACTTGTTGAGATAGTGGTCCCAAATTGATTCTGTAACCCTTAACCTATGATTCACCTCTAGCCTGTATAAAAGAAGGCTAAGCACTTAGGAAAGGGTTTAGATTTTTATATTTCTTTGGAGAGCATTTTTGGTGTTATATATGTCCCCTACACCATAAGGTGAGGGAGGCCTCTCACTCATGTTAAGATGTTAAGATATAATGAGAATCACTTAAAAGTATTGTACTGGCCGGGCGCTGTGGCTCACGCCTGTAATCCTAGCTCTTGGGAGGCCGAGGCGGGCGGATTGCTCAAGGTCAGGAGTTCAAAACCAGCCTGAGCAAGAGCGAGACCCCGTCTCTACTATAAATAGAAAGAAATTAATTGGCCAACTTATATATATATAAAAAAAAATTAGCCGGGCATGGTGGCGCATGCCTGTAGTCCCAGCTACTCGGGAGGCTGAGGCAGAAGGATCGCTCGAGCCCAGGAGTTTGAGGTTGCTGTGAGCTAGGCTGATGCCATGGCACTCACTCTAGCCTGGGCAACAAAGCGAGACTCTGTCTCAAAAAAAAAAAAAAAAAAAAAAAAAAAGTATTGTAAAATATCTACTTTAGGCCAGGCACTGTGGCTCGCGCCTGTAATCCTAGCACTTTGGGAGGCTGACATGGGAGGATTGCTTGAGCTCAGAAGTTCGAGACCAGCCTAAGCAAGAGTGAGACTCCATCTCTACTATAAATAAAAAGAAATTAGCCAAACAACTAAAAATAGAAAAAATTAGCCAGGTACAGTGGCGTGTGCCTGTAGTCCCAGCTACTCGGGAGGCTGAGGCAGGAGGATCACTTGAGCCCAGGAGTTTGAGGTTGCTGTGAGCTAGGCTGACGCCATGGCACTCTAGCCCAGGCAACAGAGTGAGACTCTGTCTCAAAAAAATAAATAAATAAAAGATATAATGAGAATCACTTAGAAGACTAGATGGAGGACCTCTGTAACTTGAGAGAACTGACTAGTACCTGGGTTTTACCTGGAAAAACTTTCAAGGCCAGAGGCTAGGGGGAAATTCTGACTGCATAGCAGGGAAAGTGGGCTACAGTGGAAGCTAACCTCACTGCCGCTGTTAGGTAAGAGGCCAGGAAGGTCACATGACATGACTTGTCTTAAGACTCTCTCTGAGAGGTCTTCCTGCTGGACTTAGCTAACCCCAAAAGAAAATGTCTATGTGGATTGTACTGCCAGAGCAAAAACTGAGATGAGAAATACAAGTGATCAGCTAGAGAAGGCATATCCCTTGCCCAGGACAGGTGCAGTGGGGTGTCTTCATATCTGGAGAGAGATGGTCTCCAAAGAACTCATGTAAGTTCTTTAAGAAAGAAAGAACCACTATTTTGGCATGTGACACATCCAGAGAGTACTAATGCCATATTACCACTGCTTCTTCCAAGAAAGACTGCCATTGTGCCTCTTTTTCCACCCTCACCCTCTTTCCACTTGCTCCTACTTTAGAGGGTGCAGAGGAAGTGAGTCAGGGAGGAAGATTAGGAAAAGAAGGTGAGAAAGCAGTGTCATAACTTAGCTGGAGGAGGGAGGGGACTTTAAATTTCACAGGACATCAAAAGTTTGATATTAGATTGGACTGGGCTTGTTAGAATGTAAAAATGATACTATTTGTTAATTACTGAAGGTTATTGGAAACAATTTGGGATTGGCCAAAGTACAAGAAAGGGAGATTTCACATAATCAATTAAAAACAGTGGTCTGGCAAGGCACAGTGGCTCACACCTGTAATCCTAGCACTTCCAGATGCCGAGGCGGGAGGATCCCTGAGGTCAGGAGTTCAAGACCAGGCTGAGCAACATGGTGAGATCTCATCTCTACAAAAAATAATAATAATAATAAAAATTAGCTGGGCATGGTGGTATGCACCTGTAGTCCAAGCTACTGGGGAGGCTGAGGCAAGAGGATCACTTGAGTCCAGGAATTTGAGGTTACAGTGAGCTATGATGACACCACTACATGTTAGTCTGGGTGACATAGCAAGACCCTGACTCAAAAACAAACAAACAAACAAACAAACAAAAACAGTAGTCTAAGAAAAATAAAGCTATTTCATGTTTTCATCCCACTGTATCCAGTTCATTCAATAAACTGTTTACAGTCATCTTATATTTAATATATCCATAAAACAGAGCTATTAATTTTCCTCTTGTTTTCTATGTCATGGCCCAACTAACAACTACCCACTTTCATAAGCCAAAATCATAGGAGTCATATTTGACTTCTTTCTCTTTTTTTCTATCTCCAATATCCAATCTATCAGCAAGTCCTGTTGATTGTTCCTCCAAAACAAATTCCAAATCTTCTTCTTTTACTTCTTGTAAGATCCAAATTCATCCAAACTCCTGTGGCCTACATGGTCTTGTATGTTATGCTCCCTGCCTAATAACAAAAAATAACTTTAGTTTCCATTATTATCCTTCTCATTCACTTTGCTTCAGCCACATTTTACTCAACTATGTCAAGCTTATTCATGCCTCAGGTCTTTTACTTTTGTTTCATCTGCTTTGGATGCTCTTCCACTACATCTTTGCAAATCTTGCTTCTTTTTCATTAGTCAGATCTCTGCTTAAATGCCACCTCCTCAGAGAGGACCTTCCTGAACACTATATTTAAAGTATCCTCTACCTCCTGCCTCATCATTTTCTAGCACACCATCATCTTTTATAGCATTTATAATAACTTGAAATTTTCTTATTTATTTCTTTATGTGCTTAATGTCTCTAGAATGTGATCTCCATGATCTGTTTTGCTTACTATGGTATTTTCAGTGTGTAGACAGTTCCTGGATTATAGTAAGAACTCAAATAGGAACTCCAATATTAGTTGAGTGAATGCATGCATTGAATGAATTGCCATAAATCTTTCCTTAGAACAACCATGAGGCTGAGCTGGTATTGGCAGCAAGCATATACAACTTTTTTATCAATAATCACAGGAGCATGCTTCTCTTTGACCATCACTTTTGTAATAATAGGTTTTCTGGAGTGCTATCCTCCAAGTAATCTTTGGGGGACATCTCATTGCTGCAGGTCTACTGGGTCCTACCATCCAGGCTGAGGTTTATGACACAGTGGTCATAACACTTAAGAACATGGCTTCTCATCCTGTCAGTCTTCATGCTATTGGTGTATCCTACTGGAAAGCATCTGAGGGTGAGTCAAGTGCCATCCTATTGTCCTGTTATCCTAGGAAATGGAACAGTGAGGTGTGTGTGCTTGGTGATGATGGCACATCTGGTATTGGATCCATTTTCTTAAATATAAACTTACTGAAAGATAATAATAACAACAATAATAATGACTAACGTGTATAGGGTTCAAGGTCAAACAACTAGTACGTAGTGGGATCCAGGACTCATACCTAGTCCCATCTAACTCTAGAATTTGTCCTCTGAATCACTGTGCTACAGTGTGTGGATTCATATAAATAATGTTTAATTTCACTCATGTGACTGAAAAGTTTCATGGAGTCAATCAAGTATGGCTGGATCGAAGGATTTAAATGATGCCCTCAGCATTGATAGAGTATTTAAAATTATTTCACCTGTTTCTTTTTACTTTTCTTATTGTGACTACTAGAAAATTTGAAATTATACATGAGGTTCACATTATATTTTTATTGCACAAAACTCATCTGTATACTTCCAACGAAATGTTGTTTGGCATATACTGAAGCTGCTGCTTCTGATAGAGTGGCTCATCTAAGATTTGGTTGGCCAAGTTCTTCTGCCCAAGTAAAACTCAGCCCATTCCTGCAAAACCTCCAACAACCCACCCACCACCTTAGTCTTAGGAAAAAGAATGTTCTTTTCCTAAAGAAATATTTCAAACAAAGAAAGGTACAGAATATAATATAGCAAACAAACATGTACCTATCACTTCACTTTGTCATATCTTACCAATTTGTCATTTTTGCTTAATTTATTTTAAGAAACAATATACATACAGCTGAAGCTCCTTCTGTACCCCCCCCACAATTACCTCCCTCCCTATCTAAAAGTATTCACTATCCAGAATTTGATACTAACCCACAGTCATACAGACATCCTAACCACATACTCAATCCTCAAGTTCCAATACTATTTCCTACTTAAAAGAACCATGGCTTCTTGGAGAAATGGCTAATTCTAGTTCTGAGACAGGGAAATCATAAGATGATCTGGAAAAAAAAAAACTGTTGAGTTAGAAAATGAGAAAGTGTTCCAAGAGTTATGGGAACAAGTCAGAAGGACATAGTAACTTGTACAAAAGGCTCTCATTAGCCAATTTCAGAGCAATTGAGCATTGAAAAAACAATGATCACATTTTTAAACAATCCTTATATTATAGAGATACATATTGAAATACTCGCAAATAAAATGGCAAATGATTGATGTAGAATTGGACATTTATATAGTGCCAAAATAACATCTCAGAGATTTTTTTCTGATTGAAGGTGGCAAATGTTAACTTCACAATGGAGGTATCATGCTAATCCAGGGGTCGATTTTAGTGTCACTAACGATGGGATGGCCAGATATTATCTGCCCCTGATATGGCACAATATGAGGTACTCAGCATCACCTTTGATATATTTTAACCAAAAAATTGTTTAACTTGAGTCTAATAAGGACTTAGGTCTAAATTCCAGTTTATGGGATATATGGGGGATAGAGGAACAAGCTAAATGACCCCATAAATAAAATAAAAAATGTGGGATATTCTATGGGACTAGAAGCCAAATTTCTTTCAGCAAATGAATGTCATAAGAAAGGGACTACTCCAGACTAAAAGAGATTGTGGACCTAAACAACTAGATATTATGTGCTCTGGTTTGGACAAATTAGCTATAAAGGATGTCTTTGAGGCAATTAAGACAAATTGAATATTGCCTTGATATTAGGTGATATTAAGAAATTATTGTTAATTTTATTAGGTGTGCTAGTGTCATTTTGTTTATGTAGTAAAATATTTTTATTTTTATTTTTTTTTTTGTTGCCAGGCTAGAGTGAGTGCCGTGGCGTCAGCCTAGCTCACAGCAACCTCAAACTCCCGGGCTCAAGTGATCCTCCTGCCTCAGCCTCCCTAGTAGCTGGGACTACAGGCATGCACCACCATGCCCGGCTAATTTTTTCTATGTATGTTAGTTGGTCAATTAATTTCTTTTTTATTTATAGTAGAGACGAGGTCTTGCTCAGGCTGGTTTTGAACTCCTGACCTTGAGCAATCCGCCCGCCTCGGCCTCCCAGAGTGCTAGGATTACAGGTGTGAGCCACCACGCCCGGCCAAATATTTTTATTTTTTAAAGATGAGGTCTGAAGTATATAGAAGTACATTATCATGAAGTTTGTAATGCACATTAAAATATATCATCAAAAAAATGTTGAAAGAAAAAAGTGAAAGTACCAGTGCAATCCCAGCAATAATTTTCTAACATACACATAACAAAAAATGTTATATCCTTCAGACTAATTGGGGCTGGTAAAAAAGAAGAGAAAAAAATGTGAAATTCTTTATGTTAAGCACACAAAAAAATAATATACAAATATACCTATCTTTTAAGATTCATCCCAAATCCTACCTCCTTCATCAAGCATTACTGATAGAGTAGGAGGCTTATTTATTATTTTTTTTTTATCTACCGGACTGTTTGCTCCATGAGCATAGGGACTTCTGCCTTCATCTTTATATTTATCTTCAGCTTGTAGCTGAACCTGGTCAAGAATAAGAATGCAGTAAATATTTTTTTTAATTTTTATTTCATCATATTACGGGGGTATAAATATTGTTAAAGTTACATGTATTGCCCTTGCCACCCCTCCCTCCAACCCCCCGCCGTGTCAGAGCTTCAAGCATGTCCATCCTCCAGGTGGTGTGCATCGCACTCATTCTGTAAGTATACACCCTTCCCCTCCTCCCCCTCCCACCTGCCCACCACCCGGTAAAAGTTTTTTTGTTGTTGTTGACATTTGGTTACATTTTATATCTTTGCCTCTCCCTAAGAAGGATTAGAGGTATGCCCTTCCCCTCCACAATGCTCACCACATCCCTAAGATGTGGGTCTCCCCTTCCTCCCAATTCCCTGGTGAGCACTACCATCATTTGAGCACCATAGTTTTAATCAGTCAGTACCAATTTGATGGCGAGTAGATGTGGAGCCCATTTTTTCCTGATCTTGTGTCGCCTCACTTTGGATAATGGGCTTAAGCTTAATCCAGGATAGCATAAACGGTGCTAGCTCACTGTCATTTCTTAGAATTGAGTAATATTCCATTGTGAGTATATACCACATTTTGATTATCCACTCATGAATTGACGGACACTTGGGTTGTTTCCATGTCCTTGAAATAGCGAATTGTGCTGCCATAAACATTTGTGTGCAGATGTCTTTATAATAGAATATCTTATGCTCTTTTGAATGCAGTAAATATTTGTTGAATAAATGGGCGAATGTTTCTGCATTGTATTATAACTATAGCTTTGTAAGTCTATGTGCCCTATCAAATATAGTGTTGGGCCTCCAGGGAAAAATTAAGTTTAAAAAAAAAGCTTTTTAAATCTCTGTATCATACCCCTCCCTGACCCTGACCAGTGCCTATCAAAGAGTCTGTGACAAAGTTCATACCCAATGCATATGTGTTGTTGAATTGACTTGAATTAGGCAAAAAGATGCAATAATGGAGGCAATGTTATTGATTAACAGAATCTGGAGATCTCAACAAGAACTTAGTTTTTATTACTCATACTAGGATAAGTGGCCTTGAGCTCCTCAGGAACATATGAGGAGCTCCCCATTTATAGCTTCTGCTTGTTAGTCTTTCAAATTAAGATGCAGAGTCTGTTTCTTATGTAGAATCTATTGGTGACAATAAACTTGATATGTTTCTTTAAGTAGATGATGGGCATAGAAATGACAATTTTATCCTTTCTTACTTTAGGAGCTGAATATGATGACCAGACCAGCCAAAGGGAGAAAGAAGATGGCAAAATCTTTCCTGGTGAGAGCCATACTTATGTCTGGCAGGTTCTGAAAGAGAATGGTCCACTGGCTTCTGACCCACCATGTCTCACTTACTCATATCTGTCTCATGTGGATCTGGTGAAAGACCTGAATTCAGGCCTCATTGGAGCGCTTCTGGTATGTAGAAAAGGTAAGTGTAAGAAAGGGTAGGATTGAGTTGAAATAAGCAGAGAAGTACAAACAACTGTACCTATCCATAACAGCATTTGTATTCTTTCATCTTAAAGAGGCTTCTTTCCCCTAGCAATATACTCATGGAAAGGAGAATAATCCAGTTTCTGAGGCAAGCAGATATCCATTCTATATAACCACAACAAACTGTAAGCTGGGATCAAGAGCAGCCGAGTTCCAGAATTAGGACTCTCTTCTCAAAGCATTGCCATTTCCACTTCAGAGCCATAGGCTGTCTCAGTTGTGATTTCTACTATTCTCTACCTTTTGCAAATTTTAAGCTAGGTTCCTTGACAACTCCATGGAAGTGAACACATGCAAGTGTGTGATCAATGGCACGTAGATTGGTTCAGGTGGTTAGTTTGTCATCTGTAAGCCAAAAGCATGTACAAATCTGAGAAAAGTCAGTATATATTTATATTATTTATAACTTTTTATTCTAAAAATATCCTTAATTTTAATCAAACCTGTTTTTAATTTATAGCTTAATAGCATAAACTAAATTAGAGAAGCAAATTTTGCATGATTTCCCTATCTTTTATGCTGAAATCAGCTTCACTGGGCCTTTTTCTCATTTCATTTATCTATTACTGCATAACCCCACAATTTAGTGACTTAAAACAACAGTCATTTATTTATTTTTTATTTTTTTGTTATTGTTATTTTGTTTTTCTTTTTTTTTATTTCGGCATATTATGGGGGTACAGATTTTAAGGTTTCAATAAATGCCCATTTCCCCCCTCCCCCCACAAGTCTGAGTCTCCATCATGACCATCCCCTACATGGTGCACATCTCACTCATTATGTATGTATATACCCGCCCCCTCCCCCTCCACCTGCCAATACCCTATTACTGTAGTACCATATGTGGACCACATTATGGTGCTGCTCAGTTAATACCCAATTTGCTGATGCGAGGTATTATGGGTGCTGTTCTTCTTTGAGAATTATTAATATATGGGTTACCAGCCTAACCAGAAAATATATGATGTTGCTATGTCACTATTGTTTCTTAGAGTTTCATAGTACCATTGGGTAATACATATACCACTTTTATTAATCCATTCTTGGATTGATGGGCACTTGGCTGTTTCCACAGCCTTGCGATTATGAATTGTGCTGCTATAAACATTCGGAGTTGCAGGTGTCTTTTTTGGGGGAGTGTCATTGGATCATTAGGGGTAGATGGCCCAGCAATGGATTTTGCTGTGATCAAATGGTCAGATTCACTTGTATCGCTTTAAGCGTATCTCCATATTGCTTTCCACAGAGGTTGAACTAGTGTGCAGTCCCACCAGCTGTGTAGGAAATGTTCCTCTCTCTCCACAACCACGCAAGGATTTATTGTTTGGAGACTTTCTGATAAAGGCCGTTCTCTCTGGAGGTTAAGTGATATCTCATTGTGGTTTTGATTTGCATTTTCCCTGGATGGGATTTAGAAAGATGATGAGCATTTTGTCATATGTTTCGTTGGCCATTTCTTCCTGTTCTTCTTTTACAGAAGGTTCTGTCAAGTCCTTTGCCCATTTATATAATAGGGGTTCTCTGATTTTCTTGCTCATTTTCATTGAGTTCTAGTTATATTCTAGTTATCAGTCCCTTATCGGATTCATAGGAAGCAAAAATTTTCTAACCATTCTGGTAGGCTGTCTGTTTATTTCATGGACTATTTCTTTTGGCTGTGCGGAAGCCTTTGTAGTTTGATCATGTCCCATTTTTTTTTGTTGCTGCAGTGGTTACCTTTGGGACTTCTTCATAACCTTTGTTGCCCAGGCCGATGTCTAGGAGAGTGTTTTCCAACTTTTTTCCTCTAAAATTCTAATAGTTTCATACCTTAGGTTTAAGTCTGTTATCCAGCGTGAGTTGATGTTTTGAGAGGTGAAAAGGTGGTGGGTCCTGTTTTAGCCTTTCTACAGGTGGCTATCCAGTATTTCCCAGCCACCCATTTATTGAAAAGGGGATTCTTTTCCCCAGCGTATGTTTTTGTCTGCTTTGTCAAAGAGTAGATGGCTATATGAGGATGGTTTTATATCAGGATTCTCAGATCTGTTCCACTAGGTCCATATTCCTATTTTTGTGACAATACCATATTGACTTAATTACTACATCTTTGTAGTATAGTTTGATATCTTGGCATATTAATGACCTCCCATTTTGTTTTTTGTTGCCTAGAATGCTCTTGATAATTCGGGGTCTTCTTTGGTTCCATACGAAGCGTAAAATTATATTTTTCTATATTGTAAAGAATACTGGATGGGATTTTAATAGGCTATTGCATTGAAATCCTGTAGATCAGTTTGGGTAGTATAGACATTTTAATGATGTTGAGTCTGGCCGATCCACGAACATGGTATGGGATTTTCCATCTGTTTAC